AATGGCAACAAAATTGTAAGATTGTCTGCAACTTTGCTCTAATCTAGTGATCTGTATTTTTTCAGCTCAGATCTGGTAGTCCTAGCTTAAATCATCATTTAGTGTAAAATGTGAACCCAGTTTGTTAAATGGTTTGTGTGTGTGTGTGTGTGTGTGTGTGTGTGTGTGTGTGTGTGTATTTCAACAAGTGGAAGTTACCAGATGCCAGAATCCATTTATAGACTGATTCTTGAAAAGTCATTTTTTCTACTTTTTGTCCTGTTTCATAATTGTACAGAGCCCATCAATTAAAGCTATTGATTAAGTGGCAGTTTCCTGAATGCTTACATTTTATGCTTCATATGATTCAAGAGTTTTAATAGGGCCTGACTTTTCCTTATTTCAGTGTTGTGTTTCTCTATAATTGGGCTCTGAATGTTTCATGAGTCTAGTTATGCAATCTAACCTTTGTAGTTTGTAAACCAAGATTTATGGTATATGCACATCCAGCTTGTGACTTATTATACAGTGGTTAAACATCATGGCTTAATGAACCTGGCCTATATGTTAAATATTTGAAACAATACCATAAAGTCTACGAAGTATATATTCCATGTAGTAACTCTCAGGAGTTGATGTTTGGTAAATAGCAATTTGCAAGGAAAACCTCTTTTTAAATGTTGGCATTATTTATATTCCTAAAAACCAATATTTAAGGAATCAGCAAACTCAGAAAACAAAAAGATGTAGTTGTCTCTTAAAAACCAAGATATTTCTTTGGCCTCCATGTATATCCTAACTAGTATAATTAAGTTTCATGATTTTGAACTCTGCTTGGTGCTTGTACAAGTTCATGTTCCTTTCATAGTTCATTCAATACGTTTTATGAACTAGCAGTAGTATTATTTTTCTATTTTTTTATGATATAAACCACACTAATAGCATTTTGCCTTATTGACATTCATTCAATTGTTTTCAGGGTTTCACAGATATGACTACCAGTATTTAGATGGTAAGCCTCCTGCTGCAGTATAAAATAATTGCCTTCCTAAATCCAGCCTCCATTTTGGTTGGATATTAGTTTTTCACAGTTTCTCTTTTGCAAGCAGCAGAGGGAAGTCCTCCATTGCTCCCTTCCAATTGGGATTTGGAAGCATAGCACCCTTAGTTATATCTAATTGTATAGGTTGTATATAAAATTGTATATAACTTTTATTTTAAAAAATATAAACAAAAAGTAAAAGCTAACACAAACTAATATGAAGTGAGGAAGTTACGGAAACGCAAACAAAATGGCAAAAAGTACAAGAAAATAAAAAAAAGTTGAAGAAAAATAGCAAAGAAAGATAGAAGTGGCTTCCTATTATTTTTACATCAGTTATAAGTACTTTATAAATTTTCCTCTTTATCTAAGCTACATCATGACTCTCTTCTTTCTGTAATCTATCAAATCACCAAAACGGTGAATCACAAGTTCACTTTTGCACAAAAAGTCCACAGGAAGATTCCAGTCACTAATAAATGTAGATATTGTCTTTTCTCTAATCAAAGATTACAAAATTATATTTCCTCATCTTAGCAAAATCTGCCAATTAGTAAATAGCATCAGATTCAAACAATAATTTATTCAGCCTAGTTTCTCCATTTGGTATTGTTTCCCTAGTGACTCTGTTTGTCTTTCACTTTATGACTGGGACTATTTAGAAACCTCTAAATATTTTGGGGGTTTCTAATTACTGTTTTTGTTTAGTAGAATAGCCTCTCAGATGGTTTGTTGCTTATTTATTATCAGTGCTTCTGGGCCAATTCAATTATATAATGCTAAGTAGTTTATACCATAACATAGAATCCACATTAAGTAAATTAAGATTCAATGAATCCAAATGGTCAGAGAAAGTTCATGAAGAAATGACTGTCTTTAGGCAGAAAGGACTTTTTGTGTAGGTGGAAGTAAATCTGACTGTCCATAAGGACTCATGATGTTGAGAGATTGCCATTTTGGGAGGGAGAAATCATCATGGACTTTATTTATTTATTTATTTTATTTTATTTATTTATTTATTTATTTATTTATTTATTTATTTATTTATTTACTTATTTACTTATTTACTTATTTGTCTTGTATGCTGCCCACTCCCGGAGGACTCCGGGCGGCTCACAAAAGACAAGGGAAAGGGGGGAACGAGACAAAGACAACATATTAAAAACAAAACCAACATTCACAATTTCCGTGGAGGTAGATGCTTCTCAGCTCCCCCCAGCCTGCTGGAACAGCCAGGACTTGGTGGCTTTGCGGAAGGCCGGGAGGGTAGTAAGGGTCCAGATCTCAACAGGGAGCTCGTTCCAGAGGGCCAGAGCTGCAACAGAGAAGGCTCTCCCCCGGGGAGTCGCCAACCGACATTGACTGGCAGATGGAATCCGGAGGAGACCCAACCTGTGCAATCTAATTGGTCTGAGAGAGGTAATCGGCAGGAGGCGGTCTCTCAGGTACCCAGGTCCGATGCCATGTAGGGCTTTATAGGTAGCGACCAGCACCTTGAAGCGGATTCGGAGACTAATAGGTAGCCAGTGCAGCTCGCAGAGGATAGGTGTAACGTGGGTGTACCTTGGTGCACCCACAATCGCTCACGCGGCTGCCTTCTGGACTAATTGGAGTCTTCGAACACTTCGAACAAGGGCAGCCCCATGTAGACTTTGGTGAGATACAATTTGTTTCATTATATGTGCAAAATATTGTGCTGAGTAACACAAATATTTTGGCACTGGGTAAATAAATAATCTGTAACAATCAGTTGTGCATTTGGCAATTTTTGTGAGCATGTTCATATAATATATAATAAATATATTGACTTTTTAATTAACTAGAGATATTTTTCTATATTTGAAGAAATTGTGAAACTACTCTAAATGATTAATTGACAGACTAATTGTTTCTCCATTTCAATTTTCTTTTAAAAATTAAATAATTGTTCTTCTATAACTGCAGCAACATGTTCATACTGCCTTAAGTCATTAACGTACTGCCTTAAGTCATGATTTGTTTTAATTTTTTTTGAAGTTATGTCCCAACCTCTTCCATCAAAACTCTTTACATCACATTATTCATCATCACTCTTTAAGTCACGTCACATGAGGTCAAGAAACATGGTTTATCATTCACAGTTCATACATTGTACAGAACTTTAATATGAAATGTTTAGTTTTGGTTTCCTGTGTTTTATGAACCCAGCTAAATCACTTTGATTCTCAAAGTATGAAATAACTCTTGATCAGGGCAAACTTCATTTTTGAATATGGAAGGTGGGAATACGGAACATTAAGGCTACCTTTGTGAATGACTGTTGTTGAGCAGTTGTGGAGAAGATGCAGATAATCTTTATTTTAAAAAAAGATATTTTTATTAGGATTTGAACTTGATGGGCCTGTGTGGACAACACTCCATGTAAGTGTTGTCTTTTATGAAACAATGATGGTAATTCAGTATTTGCTATTTCTGCAACATATTAGCACTATTATATATTAAAGAAGTACTTCCTATTCCAGAATAGATGTTCTGCTATGTAGACAGTTGTGCCTTGAGAAAAGTTTGGCCATGTAACTGAGTCTTCCGTTTGATGTTAATCTCAAATGTTACCAGACCTCCTGAATTTAAGAGGCGTGATCATACTGCCTATATCACAATTAAACCTGGCAATAGAACAGGTTTGTTATAGAAGTTGTTGATACTGTAGGTAGTCCTCAACTTACAACCACAGTTGAGCCCAAAATTTCTGTTCCTAAGCAAGACACTTGTTAAGTGAGTTTTGGCCCATTTTATAACCTATCTTGCCATAGTTGTTAAGTGAATCACTGTATTTGTTAAGATAGTAACACAGTTGTTAAGTGACCCTGGCTTCCCCATTGACCTTGCTTGTCAGAAGGTCACAAAAGATGATCACATGACCCCAGGACACTGCAACTGTCATAAATATGAGTCAAGCATGTGCATTTTGATCATGTAACCATGGAGATGCTGCAATGGTCGTAGTGTGAAAAATGGCCATAAGTAACTTTTTTTCAATGCCATTGTAATTTTGAACAGTCATTAAATGAACTGTTGTTAAGTCAAGGACTACCTCTATTACTCTTCTTTGAAGGGTCCAAAATTTCTCTTATGTATCTTTGATTTACATCCTACAAGTTAAGGGCAGTGGTAGCTTTAATACCATATAAGCCTGTTTTGCTACTTCATGAATGTTATAGCTCATGTTTTATATTCCGCTAAGCCACATTGTTTCTATAGCATTTGTGAATCCAGGCACTTGTGACCTATTCAGTATGGTTTGGCACCATTTGTGAACAGTCTTTATTTTCTTATTTATTTCTTGGTATTTTTTCATGTAGCAAGTGTCATCTTGAAAATGGATCCTTCCAAAGAAGACTATCCCACAGAGATTCATGATTACCTTGTAGCCTTTGAAACAGCTGTTGGCTCAGTAGATGCAGTGTTGAAGACCATGATGTCCATATCCAGAAGTGAGCTCCTCCAGAAGGTAAGAAGAGGATGAGAGCAAGGAACAGTTTGCTGCTGTTTTAATTTTTCCTTGCTCCCTTGATGAACTTGCCTGGAGAGACACCCCAGTTTGACTTTCTGCACCTAGGAATATTTGTATGATTATGATTCTTATAATTTTTCATTATCCATGCTGATGGATGGGTTGGAGCTGTAGATCAATATATCTGGATGCCAATTACAGAGTTAAAGCTACATAGATTTAGAAGAATAAATAAAAATGACAGGGCTCGGTGCTTTCTTAACACTCGAGTGGGTTATGCATAGTGACTAAAAAGCAAAGTATATTTCATGCTGTCTTTGTCTCTAGAAGGGAGTTTTGGTATGAAAAGTCCAAAAATGTTTAATTTAGATGGATTTATGCTACAGTATTAGGAAACTTTTTTTTTAAAGTAAAGGAATATATAAGGCATCCATTGTTCCCTTTTTTTAACCTGCAGCAACAGCACAAGATGCTGCCTGAGTTCTTTGTACAAGTACCTGTGTACATCCAATTTGTAGTTTCTTTGGGGCAAAATGAGAGCTCATATATCAGGAAATTTCACCCCTGAAGTCTTCAGCCTTTCAGTCAAAAATAAATTATGAGCACAACAGCTTTACAATACAGCCCTTTGACAGGTTCCCTGTTGAAACTTGTAGGCTGTGTTTTTAGAAGTCCTAGAGGAACACAATGATAGATTGGCATTGGCAGCCAAAACTGTTTTTGCCTTTTAATGTGCGGTCATGATATTTGAGAGTCATGAATTGTGCAAAAAATGACTAGTGGCAGGTGTCTAGGGCAGAGTCCCTCAACCAGTGCCCATCAGAGGTTCTTGACTTTATTCCCATAATTCCTTAGCTGGCTGATGGGCTATGTGAGTTCATGTTCAGCACAACTAGAAGGCATTGGAGGTGAGAAACAACTCAAATAGACAACGATTCTCTTGTTTTTTCAAGAAAGAACACATACTCTGTTTTAGGTGAGAACAAGGGCAGCATAATGGATAAAAGACTAAACTACAGGTAGGGAATCCTTGTCTGAATCTTTTTCAAAGACTTGTAAACTCATTTGTTCAGCCTAGGTGAAAGAGTGTCTTGTTCTGCAGTATAGAGGCCTACATATTATAAACATTACAAGGCATGCAAAATGTTTGTCACATTGTATGCTTTCAGAACTACTGTGTGGAGTCCAAATGGCCTCTAGTGACCAAACTTATTTCTGTTTAATTTTAGAACTGGTATTTCTTAAGTTTACTCATATACGGAGGGTTTTTTGTTTTTTTTTTAATTTTGTATAGCTATGTTTATATAGGATACAAGACACGGAATATTTTAATAGGCATCTCTAAGAGAAAACTTGGCCACCTAGCTAGACATTAAATTATGTTCATATCCAATTTTCTTAAACTATTTGAAATTATTATGTCAGAAACAAAATGAAATTTTCAACCTAGAACTAAGGAGAAACTTCCTGACTGTGATGACAATCACTGGAACAACTTGCCTCTAGAAGTTGTGGGTGCTCCATCACTGGAGGTTCTTAAAAAACGGAATTGGACAATGATTTGTCTGCAATGATAATAAGGTTTCCTGTTTGAGCAGGGGGTTGCACTACAAGACCTCCAAGGTCCCTTCCAACTCCTTTATTCTGTTAAATTAAAAATGTTATGTTTGATTTCCCTTGCAGAGTGCTGTTGTCCATCTAGCTTCAGGTAATGGAAGGAATGGCATTCACTGTGATTTTCATCATGCTGTCATCTAATCTGATGATTTGTGCATAATAAAATGTTATGAAGATAATTGTATCTTTCTCATTTTAGCTAGATCCGCTTGAACAAGCCAAAGTAGATTTGGTCTCTGCTTATACATTGAATTCAATGTTTTGGGGTGAGTATGCAGATTAAGAAATGTATAATGACATAATGGATGAGTCTACGTCTAATGTCATATTGAAATATTAATGATCTTTAGTCTCTGATGAGTTTTAGTTTCCCCTTTTCATATAGTTATATTGCTATTGTGTTATTTATTTATTTTGAATGTCAGCTGCCTGAATCTCTGGAACTGAGTGATAGCAATTAAATAAATATCAAACTATTTTGTGTGGCTACCTGTGTGACAGGTTAGCAAATAAATAAATAAACAAACAAGGCAACTATTTCTTGTGTAGCTCCTTGCACTTACACTTGCACTTAATTTTGTAATCCAAAATATATTCTTTTCCCAAGTCTTAAAACATTTTACATTTTGATTGCTAAGGATTTGGCAAAGGACTTTTCCAGTCATGCAAGTGATAATGCATTCCTATATTTTAAATATGTAGTGAAGAATATACTGCTACATCTTTCTAATTAATTCTGATAACAAAAAATTCACTTTGCAGTGTACCTTGCTACACAAGGAATAAATCCAAAGGAACATCCAGTCAAACAGGAATTGGTAAGTTTCTTATGTTCACTGCCATGCAAAATTATTCTGCAATGGTTTGCAGAAATTTTTGTGAATTCCAAACAAAGTATAATTGAGTTAAATATTGATTATTGCACATTACAAATGCAGTTTTCAGTCTGCTTTTTCCATGAAGCATGTAATTGTCAGTGTAAGAAAACACTGCAGTATAGTTCTCTCATATTGTTAATGACCCCCTGAAGAGGGTGATTATTGTAAACAGTCTGTTTGGTTTAACTGCCAGTCAGTATTTTGACAGTAAAAACTGTGAAGGTAACAGAGCAGCATTGGAGAACAACAAATCTGCGTCTTACTTAGTGTAATCCTTCCATATACATGGAGGAGAACAGAGATGATACTATGACTTTCTTCACTTCTACTGTAAATGGGGAATCACACCTTTTGCTGTTTGATTGAGGGATCACTTTGTTGCAAATGTTACTGTAGCAAAAAGTTGGACCACTACTGTATATATGGGTTGTAAAAATCTTGATGACCTCTAGATGGCAGCAAAACAGGGCTTTCAGTACTTCTTTGTTGCCCTTTAGCAGGTCATCCATAGTTTTGCAGACCAGATATGGTAGCCCTGAAGCAAAGCTGCCATTGGAGCAGATCTGTTCTTCATCTCATTTGCTTACCTTGCAAAACCTTGAGGAATAATACCAAAGCATAGTTTTTACTCAAAACGATATTGTCATTTTCAAAGTAGATGTTTTGATCTCAGTTCAATTCTCAAATAAGATTTCATTAAAAAAAAATAGTTTGAATTTTGTGCCAACCGACTCATTCCTTGCGGAGTGGAAAAATGTTACGTGTCTAATAATTATTTATAACTTCCAGTACAGTATGTTTTCCTATAAATACTTGGACTCGTGTTAATCTCTAAGGCTACCTTTTCTTACTCCTGCCTGCCTTTAAAAGTATCATGTGTTTGATTTACTAGCAAAGACGGGAAAGATTCCCCCTCCCCTACTCCAATCCCTCCATTAATTCATTTTCTCAGCAGTAAAGAATCCAGTTCAGCAACAAAGCTAAAAGCTTTTTTGGCACCAGTTATATGTGTTCTGTCCAGTAATTCTGCATTAGTGACATATTTACTGCCTACAATAAATCTCTGAGGTTTGTCTTATAATCCATTTAGAAGCATGAGCCGAGTGTATAAGGCTGGATACCTTACAAATTCTGCTGACTTGAAGAAACAGATCAAATGATTTAGCTTGGCAGATAGAAAAACTACAGATCAAATCTACAGTTGGCTACCAGAATTGTTACGTTCTATATATTACACCTACCCAGATATGCAGCATTGTTAATACAATAAAAGGGTAACTACAAATAAAAAGTAAAACCAATTGTGAAATATAATTCATAGGGAAGTGTAGGTATATACATATTGGCTAGTGGCAGTATGTTGCTTTTAATTTTTTTTTATATTTTTTTTTTAGCAAAACTGCTTTTGCTCAAGAGTGACTAAATTGCCACTCAATTTTTTAAACTCCTTCCCAGGTCACATCGGTATGAAAAGTATGTTATGCTAGTAAATATCCAATGCAATAAATACACTGAATGTCAAAAAACTCAATTACTGTTACATTTGCTGTTATCTTGAACTTCTCAAGAGGAAAGCAGTTATTCTTCAGCTTCTCTAATTTCTTGCAGGCTTGGTAATGTATGCAGTGTGAAATGGGTGTTATTTCCTTTTAAAGCTCAGTTTGATGTCCATGTCATGTTGTGTATCTAAAAGACCAATCAGGTGCTCTTTTTTAGTTTTGCTATTAGCCTGATACTGAGACCTGACTTCTCATCTGCCTGGAGAGAAAAGTATCTTTACAGTGAAATAGTTCATTCATGTTGCTTGAGAATTCATTTTGCATATCATTTCTTAGTAGCTCTTTTTGGGGGGGGGGGTGGCGGTGGCAGGGGATTTTGACTTGGTTGCTACATAATGCCAAGACATAATTTAGGACCATGTGTACAAGTCTGTGCAAGCCTTGATTTGTACTCCCCCTTGCAGCAAGAAAGAAGACTTATCTTGGTTTGTTATTTATATATGAACCAAGAACCATGCTATAAATCAGACTCTGATTTGTTCAGTTAAACAGTCTATGAGTTAAGCCAAATATTTTGTGACATATTTAGTGGCTGAGTTGGGGTTATAATGACAATACAGAAATTCAAGGCCCAACTATCTTGCCTGGCTTATAGAGGCTTATCCACATAATAATAAATTGTGATTTAGGATTAAGTGTGAATGTCGTCACTAACTTATTGGTTAGGTTTGCAGGTTGTACTAGACCACACTTCGTTGAATAAGATACAAGGACTGGGGATCCACACAACCTAATCTAAAATAAATCATGCCTTAATATGAAGAATGAAACCAGCCTTAGACTTGCGTTCCCTGCTGATAATCTTGGAAAGCATTGCAGTGTAGATTTCCAACTTCTCAGATCGTTAATGAAATCTAGTGCCTATGTATATTCCTAATTTGAGGCAATTTAATCAGTGTTCTTTTGATGCCCAGAATAGAGTGTGAATTGCTTTTCTTACTGTTACCTTCCGAACCAGAATCTATTCTTTAAAAGTGCTACAGGTATTCCTCACCTAATGACTTACAATTGGGACAAGGAAGGTGGTTGTTAAATGAAGTGGTTGCTAAGTAAAATGGCACATTAACCACCTTCTAAATTGTGAATGACCACTAAACAAAGCTGTTGCTAAATGAGGACTTTTGCAGTAATAATATAATTAAACGTTATAAACACTAAAAGCAATATAATAAACAACCTTTGCATTGATGTTGCAGGATACAGAATGACTGTTGAACATTCCTGCCTTATTCTGTTATTTGATTAACGTGTCATGAGAATTACAAGTGAAATGGAATTCAGACAGATTTAAAATCTTTATTTAGGTAATTTTAACATTAAAGGCTACATTAAAAGAATATACTCTTACAAGTAATTTTGTCAAAATTAATTTGCACATTTTGTACAAAAGGCAGTAGTACTAAGATTTGGTAGCAGGCAAATTTAAAATAAAGCAATTGCCTTGATTGAATGAAGGGAAATCAGTTAATTTTCCAGAGAGAGTTGCAACAATTCAATGATTGCATTTAGCAATCTCTAAATTTCCTTAAAAGGAAACCATAATTAATCCATCAATTTACATTTATTGTGTGTGTGTGTGTGCATGTGTGTGTGTGTGCGCGCACACATATTGGGGAAGGGGAAGTAGAAGATGGTTTTAATTGCTATTAAAATATTTAAAAATATTTAGAGAAATAGGGAATTCCTTTGTTAAGGGAATGAATGGT